TAAGCAGTTTGTTACAATGGGTGGATTTAGGTCAGGAGGTGTTCAGTATCCAGATTCCAGACTGAAGCTTGTGTAAATCCTAATTACCACGGGATGTCAATCTCGTGGCAAAAACAGAGAACCAAATAGATACATAATTAGCGTAGCTGCTGTTCCAACCAAGTAAAATTAATTTGTTTAACCCAAGCTAAAGAATAATAATGTGCATTTGATCAGATATAACTGCAGTACAAGATTATGAGATGCATTATTTGAACGCTTGGCCAAAGAGATGTGTCTTAAACACATCTTACCAGCAAACATACACTCGTTTTCATCCTTCTCTCCACTCTCTGAGGCTCTAAACTCATCCTTTCCAATCATCCTACTACCAATCATCCGCTTGATCCTATTCCATCTCATCTCCTTCAAGCCATTTGTACACAGAGCAGTTGAGATAAATCAGGCATGTTATTTGTGAATCTATCTTTAGTGACTGGAATAATAGTCCTGACCAGACGATAACGTGAAGCCATATAGTTAATATCAGTAATACTCAGCATGCACGATACAAGGAAATGGTCAGTAACATCATCACTTTGAGGTACGATATCTATATCAGTAAGATCAATTCCATGAGTTATAATTAAATCTAGCGTATGATCAATAGGTCTGAGAGGAAATCTGCAAATTCTTTTAGGAAATCTGTATATGGCCCTGGTGGTCTATACACAGTAGCCAGAGCAAGAGATACGATAGATTTCTTTTGCATATCTGACAGTGTAACATTAAGCATTAGTATTTCGAATGAGTTAAACCTGTATCCTGTCTTCTGAGTAACATTGAGAATATCACTATATATTGTTGCAACACCGCCGCCACGACCAGTCTGACGGGGCTCATGCTTATAACAGTAGCTTGGTGGAGTAGACTCATTTAGACCAATATAATCATTTGGTTTTAGCCAGGTTTCAGTCAAGCAGAGTACATCAAAACTATTATCTGTGATCATTTCATTTACAATAACTGCTCTGGGTGCGAGTGATCTTATGTTTAGGAGCCCAAACTTTAAAAATTGCTTTTGTTAATTTATTTTACGTTTTTCTGGTTTAATCACGATCAGATTTTTTCTAGATCCTGCATTAAATTTATATTTTGACCTCACTATTCGGGGAACAGACACAGTCTTTATAGATTGGACAGCGCAAGTACTTCTATCATTTAAGCAGGTAGAACAACAGCAGTTATTTGAGAATTGGCTTACTAGTCATCTTGAGCGCAGCATCCTGGAGATGTTGTCCGACAGGAAGCTCCGACTCTGCTGGGGTGCAGGCCATCAGCGCGAAAAAGCCTAGGACGCTCCTAGAAAAGATTCCAATTATTAACAAAGAGCAGTTTCTGTTTCACCATGACAATAACCATTCATTTAAAGCAACATTCTACTGAACCTTTCGTGTCCTCATCGATACGTGGGAAGCGGTCCTGACACGATGATCATCGTCGCGGGCGATGTGCTGCACACCGTCTCGATCAGGCTCCTGAAGTCCCTCTTCAGTGTCTCCGTCTGCCGCAGCTTGGTGTCGTTAACCCCCGCGTGAAGCACGACCGCTCCGGGGCTCTCGTCGCCCTTCAGGATCGCGGGTATCTGCGCAGAAACATCGAGAACACGAGCACCAGGGAAACAGTGGGTGTGCACTTTTTCAGCTACCTTCAGCTAACGTAGCACAGACGTGCCGGACGATGGAGTCTCCTACGATCACAGCGTCGCGTTCTGGGTGGAGATCTCGAATACTGGAGGTGGCGGAGGGGGAGAGGTTGTCGCCCGGGGCCTGGCTCGCGTCTTCCGCTGCGGCTGCACCCAGGGTCCGTGGTGTCCCGGCGCCGGAGTGAAGGACATCTGGGAAGATCGCGTCCTGGGTGCACCGGGCCTGTGCAGAGAAACACACGGAGTAGAGGTGGTGGGAGAGTTAGCAGCGCGCCTTTTTACATTTTCCCCGGACTTGTGAGCGTCAGCCCGAGATGTTTCCAGAGCGGCTCTCCACTCTATCAGCTGGGCCTGCCTCTCCACCAGGTCGCGGATCTGCTTCTCCACGGCCTCCAGCTCGAGCTGCACCGAATGCAGCTCGAGCGTGTCCTCACCTGCACTCAAAGGTAGACACACATACGCCATTAAAGCAAGTAACAGTGACCATGCTGGCGATGCTAACGGGCTATAAGCTAATAGCGGACTTGGGAAATCAAAATAAAACTAGTGATAACAAGGCGCTCTGATTGTTTTTGTTGTAGAATACGATAGGGGATATATTCACACGTTATATGAACGAAAATGATGGTGTATAAAATTGATTTTAAGATAAGAAATAGACGATTAATAATTAACTTGATGGAGCTCAAACTCAAAACACACCAGAAATATTGCAAGATTATGTCCAATGTTGTCTTTCCCTGTTGCTGAGAAGTTGATAAACACCTTTGTTTTCTCTCGAATTGACTATTGCAATGCTCTGTTGGCCGGGGGTTTCAAAAGCTACTCTAAACAAATTACAGGTCGTGCAAAACTCTGCTGCCAGAATCCTAACTAAAACAAGGATAAGGGATCATGTCACTCCTATCTTGGAGGATTTGCATTGGCTTCCTGTTAGGTTTAGGGTTGATTTAAAAATTCTGATGCTCACTTACAAGGCTCTGCATGGTTTGACACCGCAATATCTGTCAGAGCTTTTAACTCCATATACCACAAGGCGGAACCATCGTTCTTCTGACACTGGATTGTTAATTGTTCCATCTACCTGCCTAAGATCGATGGGGGATAGGACTTTTTCTTCTTTAGCTCCGGAAATCTCTTCCTACTGAAATAAGGCAGGCAAATTCTTTTAACATTTTTAAATCTCGCCTTAAAACTTATTTCTTTAGGGTAGCTTTTATTTAAATGTTTATATTAATTTTATATTGTTTTTATTTCTAATGTGGTTTGTATGTGTTTTTGCTTATTTTCATACATTTTTATATTGAAAACAGAACTTTAAATTGAAATATAAAGTTCAACATTTTGGTCCAACAGTACTGCTGTTTTGAAATATCTGGCAAACAGAAACAGATGTTTTATGGAATGTTTTTTTGCAGAGAGGAATTCTAATCTTTTTTCCATCGTACTGCGAATAGGATTAACGCTTTTAGTCATGTGCTCATGCCCATACGATTTTCCCAAATGGGAGGCGGCCGTGCTAACAAGGACACTAAAAACCAACCTCTGGGCAGATGAAGCCAGCAGTTTAATTCTAGGCTGCAACAAAGTCAGATTGTGCAGAGGACTCATCTGGTAACTGTGGTCTTGTCCCGATGGCCGTCTAGGTGATGAGGTCTTCGGAGGGAACTGTCTCTGGGGCTCATCTTGTTGACATGGTCTCCGCTGACATTCAGGGCTGTTGAGGGCGTCTCTAGGTGCTGATCCACCATCTGGTCTGGATACAGCTTGGTCCGGGTGGCTGCAGAGACCATCTGATCTGGATACAGTCTGGATCTGGTGGCTACGGTGACCTTGGAATAAGAAAGAAACAGACTAATATTAGCGTAGATGTCATTCTTCTAATGATGTAACAAGTACATTGTGTGTTATGGGAGGTGTTCCTGGTTCCGGCTGACCTAATTAATGCAGCCTTAAACAGTTTTGAATAATAGAAATGTGTTAGTGTGTTATGTGTAAGCCAGGTTAAAGAGATGTGTTTTAATCTAGATTTGCTTTTTGCATTAGAGTGGCTTTCGAAGGAAAGATTGCTATCAAATAGCACACCTAACTTCAACTTCCTAACTGATTACGAAGAATTGACAGAGCAGCCATCAAGTTGTCTTAAAGACACAACACTCTTGCCTTAAAGTTTTTAGTGAGTCTGAAGAACTTGATTAGCTAGTTCAGGTGTGTTTAATTAGTATCGGCGCTAAACTCTGCAGTACAGTTGCCCTTCAGGAACAGGTTTGGACACCCCTGCTCTAGTATCAGTCACTAGTGTGCCTCCTGAGGCCAGGGGAGTGAGGTTTACCTGCACAGCTCTTACTAGCTGGCCTCCGTTGCAGTCAACTTCCTAAACCTTACTCCCATCTAGGTCACAGCACCAATGTAACCCCTCCGGTTCTCCTCGACCCGCTGCAAGAGGGATTTGAACCAGCGTTTCCAGCATGAGAGACTGGTATGCTAACAAGGACCCTAAAGACCACAGCCTCTAGCATGCTCAGAGATGTGTGCTGTTCTCTAAAACTATTACATAGTGGCACATACGAACAGACTATTTTGCTAAGCGATAGTGAATAGCAGACCCGGACCTGGCTCTTTTTCTCTGAACTCTTGTATTTGATATTGTTTGATAATCATAGTGTAAAAAATAAACCTGAACAGCTCTTAAAAAACAAAAATGGTGCTTGACTGAATTTCTTCTTTGTGACAAGCGTCAGAAATAGAAAGTTGCACAGTGCTGCCCTTTTGTGTTTTGTTTTTATTGCAACATTTTTAATAAGGCATTTATGACAAATATCAGTCATAGCAAATCAAATACTGAGACAAACATACTTGGTGAGAGATTGCATATTCTTCCTGACCTAAAAAGTATTGTAATCAGTCTAAAAGACCCGAAGCATATTAAAACATGGGTAAATCAACTTATCAAATTAAAGTGTAAGGCTCAGGGCACTGTAATGGGGTGAAAGGACAATTCTTTTAATTAAATAAATACTTGTTGCTGTTAATTTTGGTAAAATATTTTGATTAAATATTTGATTCATATTTTGATGGATGGGGGGCAGGATTAGGTATATCACACTGTCTACAATACCTTGCCAATATCTCATTTGTGCAGACTTGAATATAGGATGTAAAATATAAGTCTATTTTTTCAGGGTATAGTCCTATGTACTTTATTAGGCTTGTGATTTTGTGGTTATTTTTGATACTTTGTGCTTGTGCTGATTTGAAAAAATATATATATTATTAATTATTATGATTTTTTACAACTATTATTTCTCACTCACAGGCACGAGTGATGGCCACCATAGGAGTGACACGTGGTTTAGGAGACCATGACCTCAAAGTCCATGACTCCAACATCTATATTAAACCATTTCTGTCATGCTTTCCAGAGGTGAGCTACCTTTTTGTTCAGCTCAATTGAAATATTGTTTATAAATGTTATGTAGAAGTGTGGGACATGACTTAAGAATATGGCTACTCATTGGTGGCTTTCCCTGACTCTAATAATAAATACTAGTGGGTAAAATGGGTGACATTTAATACAGTATGTCTACATTTAAATACTCTAAAGCAGTGGTAAGACACAAAAAGTACACAAAAAGTACACAATACACACTGAAAGTACACAAAAACTGCAAAGACTCACTTATCACAAAGTAATGATAAGATTTCTATGACTAACCAATAATATCCTCATGCCAGCCAGAGAAAGGTGGTGCAAAGTGAAATGTGCACTGAAAAAAATGTTTCATTCATCCAATTAAAAAAATTTAGGGTAATGATTCAAATCTATATTTTTTAACTTGAGCCAATGAAAAATAAATAACTTGCCCTAACATTTTTTTCAGTGTGTGTAATGTATTAAGCTTTTCTTTTTCACAGATTTGATCAATGAGGTAGCTGAGCAAATAAAAATATTCGCTTCTTACAGTTTCCAAGCAGCTTTAAAGAAAGTCATAATGCTTTAATAAGTTTTAGGGCTGGGTGATATTACAATTTATATAACAGTTCTTTCTGGTCCTTGAATCTGATTGGCTTAGAGGTCTTTTCAGCCATGAGGTGTTCTACCAGTATCACCACAGAACCGTTTCACTGTTTGTATCACTCCGCTTACAGCATTGCTCACAGCGATTATATGATGGCGAACGACCAAACCCACTATAATTTTACAACTACTTCTGTTGTTTTATCACGGAATGTAGTTTAAGAGATTTTTAGACAAGAATGTAGTTGTTTAGACTTCAAATATGCAGTTTGTAAATAAAGAATAATGCCTATTAGAAAATTGGTTTCAACTTTTAAGAAGATGTGAGCTCCATGAACCCTTTCTGCACCCACGAACCCGCTGAGAACAGCCTTACCTATGCCAGTTCTTCTGCAATTTGCCACTGGCTCTGATGTCTCTATAGTGGTTAAACATAAGATACATTTGTCTTGGGTATATCTAATGGGCAGTCTTTGGGCTCATTAATCTATTATTTGTTCCAGAGCAAAAAGTTTTGGCTGAAGGCAAAGTTTGATAACTTAAAGGGTCATATGATGTTGCTAAAAAGAACATTATTTTGTGTATTTGGTGTAATGAAATGTGTTTATGCGGTTTAAGGTAAAAAAACAACAACATTATTTTCCACATACTGTACATTATTGTTTCTCCTCTATGCCCCGCCTTTCTGAAACGCGTCGA